ACCTAGTAACATATGACATTGAAAAATACCATTAATAATCAATATTGCATGTAATTAATCTTACTAAATGCTATAGTTTTGCGGAATGATTGAGATAAAGTGTTAGTATTATTAATATTTGGGATCACAGGTTCAGGGGTTCGAATCCTGGTTATTGCACAAAAAGCTTTCTGGTTGTGATACATAAAAAATATCTGATATAACACCTGACAACGGCCAGATAATTCACTGGTCGAAACGTTGTGAAAATTATAATACACGTAATAAAGACGAGAATAATACTCCAAGTAATTATACCATTAGTATTACTAAATGCTGTTGGAGGCCCTATGTATTGTACATAGAAAGTAAGTAATTTCACCCAATTACTTGTAAGAAGCAAAAGCATAATATTACTGAATATGTTGAAATATATGTAGACCACACTATTAATGAATGGCAAAAAAAAACAAGTCAGTGGTTTGAGGGTTAAAAAAAAATGTAAAATGAGAATTCCTGTAGTTATTAGAATTTTATCTCATAGAATGAAATTATAAAATTTACTTTAAAGTGTGACTTTTTGCAACAGTTATTTTGACAAAGTTCAAAGTCTATTAGTTTCATTTCATGTACATATAAATAGTTTGACTGTTAAATATTATCAATAAGTTGATTGTCTTGTTTTTATTGGGATTTAATTTGAATAAATCTGCATTATTTCTAGAATATTCTGTTTATGAATATGTTACAACAGTTATAGGACTGTACTGTAATGCTTTTATAATTACTGAAACTAAAAGTTGTGATGATCTTTTGTCAGTGGTACTTAAGTTATATTTTTTCTACTTTTAGTGCAGGTAATTTTCAATAAATATGCATTATTAAAGTACATTAGCATGTAAATTTTCTCTTAATGGAGTAATGAAGATTGAATTGATCTGGAGTTTGCAACTGTTTTTAACAGAAAGACATAAGTTATCATATATTAAATAATCAACTTGTCAAGTTCAGTGATACAAAAAAATAAAATAAAACATATCATATGTCATGATATCAAAGTCTTAAAAGAGGCACGTTAATTTTAAAAGAAATTGGGCTGAGCCTGACTAGTGGTTAGCATGTATAGACTATGAATCTGGGAATTCAGATTTCACAAACTGTTGCTGAAAATATGTGCTCCATCCCACTTTTGGGCTATGGGTGCACTTATATTTGGATAGAGAATAGTAGCCCAAGAGTTGGCAGTGGGTTTAGTAGACAAACTGCCTCTTCTCTAATTGATCAATCTAAAATTAGGGATGGCTATGCGGTGATAGCCCTTGTGTAGCTTTGTATGAAATTCTGAAACAAACTACCCCCTCCCCTCCCCAGTGGCAAAGCAGTATGTCTGCAGACTTACTGTGGTGGGCAGAGAACAGATACTCCATTCTGTAGCTTTGGGCTTGACTACAAACAAACTAACTAATCAAAAAATATATGTGGGAATCTGCAAAAATTGCCATTTACAGATGGTTGAGTATGTTATATTAAAACAATTTTGAATGTGCAAACAAGCAAATCATGCAACAGCCATAGCCAACATAAAGTCACTGTGGAACAGCATCTATCAGAACTAGATTTTGACATTTCATAAGTAGTGTGATGTTACAAAAAATTTATTGTTTTTTAGAAGGATATGTAACAGCTCTCTCCACTGCAAAATATTCATACTCTCATATCATAAAGATTTGTTCAGGTCGTGGATTTAGAATTTCCAAGACAAGGATATCTTGAGTGTGTATCAACTTGGAGCACCAACACCATCCAGAAAGAGTCCTGCAGCAATTCATACCCCAGCTGTGGTAAGCAAGGTGTGGCACCTTGTAACAGGTGAGAATTCATGTACCCATACAACAGTATGCAACATAATAAAGGAGGATCTCTGTGTGGAAACAAGGCCAACACGGTATGGATTAACCAAGATAAGGCTTCCAGTTATATCTTCTATTCAACCATTGCTTACCCCAAGCAGCTGCAGAAAAAATGAAATAGGTAATTTATACTATTTCATATGAACACATACTGGTCAAGTTGCTGGACACAACCCTGTGGGCTTCTATATTATAAACTTTTGAGACAGACACTAAGAAGCCATCAAACTTGCACACAAGATGGATTATGGAAAGCATTTAGGGAGGAGTGGTGACACTCCAAAATTGTTTTAATATAACTTATTCAACCTTTGTATTTTGTATGTCCATAAGATATTTGTTATTATGGGTAACTAAAGGAAAGTATGAATAGGTAATGAAGGATTTTGATACAATTATTAGTTTCCTTTAAAATAGTCTACATACAGTAGTATAGCTGAAGCCAAACTAAATTCACCGAATCAAAGCCTCTTGTAAGTGATCACCTAACTCTTAACAAAAACTGTAATTTCAAAGTAACTTTCATCAAAAAAGTATTTAAAATAATGATTGTTCTACCTTGTTTTACATACATTATTTCCTCAAACATTTTTCATACACAACTATGTAAAGTAAATTTACTGTTTCTTCTAGTTACTTCAATGTAATAGTTCTTCTTTTTATCATACTGTTTACTAATTAGTATTGCTTTTATGAAATCAGTTTACCTCTTTTAAATATTTTATATTGTGATTTTATTAATTGCTTTTGAAAAAAAAATTAATTATATATGTTTTCTTATTTCAGATTCTAGTTTACTGTCAATATGCATTCTTCAGTTTGCAGCTGGAATAGCAACGGCAGCAGCCTTCACTGTAATGATGATCTGTTCCCAAGGGGCACTGCAAGTAGTCCAGACAACACACTATACTATATTAGCATCTTCAGAAGTTGCAGGAAAACTGCTATTTTCCTCTCTGAGTGGAATGTTAATAGATATTTTTGGATTAAGTACTGTATACTTTGTTTTTGTATTGTTAAGTTTAGGGACTGTCTTTATTGTTCCTGAGATTCCTGTTAAAGAGGAAATAAATAAATACTCATAACTCATATTTTCCTAGAAGTAATCTCATTGAAAATGCTATTAGAATATATCATTTAATAAAAAATTATAGAGCAAAAGGGATAGCATGAGTTTTTAATAAAAACAAGTAAGAAAAATGTGTTTAGAAAGGTAATAGGTTAATACTTTTCAAATATGTGACAGGAAAGTGACGAATAGTTTGCAAGGTTTTCAACATTGTGGAAGTTTGGTTATTAGATTACTGGTTCATCAAACTAGAACACATTCAATACAAGTGACTTACATACTAATTTTGTAGCATTTATCAGGTTGTTAAGTGTGATGTTGCATGATTATTCAGCTGTGAGGTATTCAACATTGTGGCAGTTCAGTTATTAGATGACTGGTTCATCAAACTAGAACACATTAATACAAGTGACTTACATACTAATTTTGTAGCATTTATCAGGTTATTAAGTGTTATGTTGCTGATTATCCAGCAGTAAGGTCCAAATATACGAAATACAGCATTTTCTAGAAACACCACCGTGTTATGCCCCAGTGTGTACAAATAAGTGTAAAGTCAACACTGAGCTGTTTTTCCACAGATTTCCAGATGATGATAAAGAAAGATAGCAATGGTTGAAATCAATAAAGTAAAAAAGTATGCTGTAGAGAAACGAACTAGAGCCAGCTAAGAGTGTTTTCATAACACTGTCTTGGTGCAATAAACACTCACATTTAAAGATATAAATGAGAAAGGTTGAAGTTTATGTATACAAAATACTATGTTAATTACCCTATGATTATGTTGTGGTTTTTGCATTATTTTGACAGGCGGTCTTTACTGAATGGCCATATATATGGATTCACAGCAATGCACTATTCTGTGAACAAGTTTTAACACACACACACCTTCTTTTGATGTTGATATCAAAAATTAAAGTTGAGTTTATGTGTCATCTGAAAGTACAATCAGCCTTTCAGAAATTATTAGATACTACTATTCATATTCACTTTTATATTATTTTAGAAATATGTCCTTTCTATTGCCTCAGCTGGGTATGAAAATAGAAAATGTACACATTACATTGTGTACGAGATATTTACATGTACACTATAAGCAATGTCATTCCTCTGACCTCTCAGTCAGATCAGGGACCTACTATATTAATAAGAAGTTTATAGGCCTACTCTTTATATGATTATGCTTTAAACTTTTTAGTACACTGTTAGTGATGTTGATTTAGTGCTTTATCAAAACCTGCATTGTGCCTGTAATAATACTATCCAGTTGATCTTGTATACCTTCTTAGACCTATAAACATTACGTGCTTTATTGATGTTCTCCGGATAATCGCTGAAATAACAATACACGGTGAAAAATGTTACAGGCTCCACGTGAGAAATGGCTTCATGCACGGATCTGGAATCTTGTGACATAGGCACTCACTTAACAAATCAATTGGTAGTTAGAACACATCTCATTGGTCATTTCATTTGAATGTTTGACTTGAGAAAAGCTTGAAGTATAATAGGTGTTGAAGTTACATCTTTAATTGATAGTGAACTGAGGGTGAGGCCTGATCAGGGTAACTAATTATATGAATTGTATATTTTATGGTGAGCTTACCATGCAATGTTTGATGGTAAAACTAGTGATAAAATTATCTTGATAAATCATATAAATGATAATTACACAAATGTGATATAAGTTAAAATGTAAAAAATAAAATAATGTCATTCATTTAAATTTAAAGTATAGGTGTTAACCACAGGATTGTAAATGTTGGACTAGAGATAATGGAGTTGATCATAGATCACTACTGAGCAATAGAATGGATGCTATAAGAGACATAACTATAACAGTGAATGATGAATTTAAGGATTTAATGCTTATGTTCTGTGTTATATAACATATTATAATATTAATGTTGTATTTTTTTCTGATATCGGGTCCCAAAGGAAAAGTTATTGAATCTGATACTTTGTAACTCTAGGACTTTTCCTTATCTTCACATTCAAAGGTAATATTACCTTTATAAGCTTCAAAGGGATATAACACATTCTAATCCATAATAACCAGTACTGGCTCTACGGGGCAGGAGTGGCCCATCAAAAAACTTTTCCAAGCCCCAAAAAGGTTTTAAGGCAACTTTTACACAAAAAAATTTTTTTACAGTTATGAATAAAAAAGTATTAACATCCAAATATGAATTATCCCAGGAATAGTTAAGACCAGTTGATTTTATGACCAGATTAGAAAATGGATCAACTCAGCCTATTTTGGCTGGATACATTTTTTTTTACATTCCCACCACTAGGAGAACTGATTTTATTATCAGATGGCCCAACTCAATTCAAGTTGGATACATTTCTTTCTTGCATTCCCTTAAACCATCACTAGAGGAACTGGTTTGATCACAAGGTTTGGGGATGAATCAACTCCACCCAAGCTGGACACTTTTCTTTAAACCATTGACTTTGAATATGAGGCTGGAGAATGGACAAACTTAACCCAAATGGGACACACTTTTTAGATTCCCTTAAGTCACCGCTGGGCTTGGAAGTCACTCAGACCTCCCCTCTAAGGTTTGGTTTAGTTGTTTTTAAGCACAAAGCTACACAATGTGGAAACCATATTTTTGGGCATCGTAAGACTGCAGATTTATCACTGTGCCACTGGAGAGCCAGATCCTGTAAGCCCCGACGAGAATCGTGTCTGCCCAGTATTAGATCGTAATATTAGATTGTAATATTTTAAATTAAGAGAGCACAACTTAATGAATATCAAAATAATCACAAAAATCTTGATGAGAATCCTCCATGCGACTGTTAATAATTATGATATCACGTATTTGTGGGCGAATATCTGATATATCACATTTTACCATAAAAAATGAAATACGTGTTTATTCAAATGTCAATAAGTATTATCACAGAGTATTTTATTTTTTTTTATTGGTTTTAATGTTGCTAATGATAAATTTTACTGTGAACCAACAAGACTGTAAAAATATATCTGTCCCTGACTGAGAATAAGGTTTAAAATTATAATAAAAAATTGACGTTTATATTAAAATACTAATTTCTAATATTACCATAAGGGGGTGCTTGTTGCCAATATTATAGCGATTGAGGAATTTGTGTTAATATTTAAAATATGTCCCCCAATGGGCTGGGACAGTGGTAAATTTAACGCTAAAATCCGGGGGATCTATTTCCCGTGGTAAACACAGCAGATAGCCCAATGTAGTTTTGCTCTAAAACAAACAAATATTTCAAATTGCATTATATGCAGTCCTTCATAGGTTATCATTATAGGAATGTATATGGATTGTCACTAATACACAAATCACTGTGATTTCTTAGACACTCAAAAATTGCTCCTAAAATATCCACGAAAAAGAATTTAACCTGTTTATAGTACAGATTTTTCCACGAAAAATAATTTAACATGTTTATAGTGCAGATTTTTCCCATTTCTTTGTCTGGATAACTTGGAACTCCCGAGACTTTTCATGGAATGTAACAGGTGTTGTATATAAACTTGATGAGCTTACATATCTTAATATAAACTTAAACCTATTTATTCTATAGTTCATAAAGAACAACATAAGAAACCTTACTCAAGGTGAGTTAAAAGCCTCATTTCCTTAATATTATTTAAAAGTAGTTATTGTGGCACTCTAGAGGTGGAAGTGATGGTATCTCCTGAAGGCATGGGGGGGGGGGGGAGCAGAACAGTTAATTGATCATAACAGCCAATTATAGATTAAAGAGATAACAAATAATTACAGGATATGACGCCATTTATTGAGAATAATTATAAGCATGGTTTGAGTCTTGCATGAATTAATCATATTTAATTATAGTATGTAATGACAGATTCTCATGATGTGGTGCCAATTATTGATAATTATGCATGGTTTGAGTTATCCACCATGTCTCATTATAGATAACGAAAAAAAAAGTGTTTTGGGTTTCCACTGTATGTAATGACACACGTCTAGCTTAGTCTTTTATGATAAATTACATCCCATAACTATCATTTTCTAACACGCATGTTTGAACAACTAATACAAGTCTCTATTTATATATTTCTTATATAAAACTCATAGTCCAATACGTTATCATTAATATATGTAAATAAAATCATAGACTTAAGAAGTATCACATACACTTAAACATTTATGAACAAAACTTCCAGATATACTATTTACGAAAACATCTTAGCTTATAAAATACTAACCTACAGCCTACTGTAATAACACTTGTGGAATAAACTTGTTCTAGCATGTTATTCATTAAATGGAACACGTCTCTGCAAATAAAATATAAGGGACATTCTCCAACGTGATTCAAGCTAATATGGTCATAGAAACTCTACAAAACATATCTTGCAATTGAAATCTGTAACTATTTGGACTATCCATGTTATGCTGGAATTTCAGACATCAGGCTCACAACTGACATGTTTCACGATAATGTAATTTGGTTTTATTCCATGCTTCAAGAGCATCACCTCACAGTGGGTGTATTTCCAAACACTTATGGACTCACATGTGCAGCTTTGGACTTGTGTACTCGTAGTTACTTAACCTCAAATATTTTTTCTCTAAGTTTATATTGAAAGAAAAATTAACTTATCTTTCAAATATGCAGTTTAAAAGAATTTTTAAATCAATAAAATAGAATGTACAAAGACAACTATAAGTTAACTGGTTTAAGCTATTTAATGTAAAGAAAAAAACTGTTCAATGCCACAAGCATCAACTTGCTTATTAATAAGTACGGAATCAAATTCTCTACTATCTAACATCTACTGGAGTCAGTTTTAAAAGGGCCACTGAAGGTGTTAAGTTTTCGAAAAACCTTGGAAGTTAAGTACTGATGGATGGGACATCTGTCATGGGTTGAGTAAATTTAGTTCTCACACAGGAAGAAGTTATTCCATTGAACTGGTACGTTTGACCTTGGTATTATTTATGTATTGTGTCTAGTATAAGTCAGACAGTATAGCTGCTATAATATTGAAGCTATAGAAACTAAAAGAGGAGATTTCAGAACACAGATGCATCATGTGATAAAGAGAAATTAAGCTTTTTAAAATTTTGTTTTTGAAATTGATAAATTAAAACTTAGATAATATAAACATTTTAACTGTATATTCTTTGCTGATGCTATTCTAATGACATACATGTACATTAATAATTAAGTTGCATAATTAATATCTGAATGTTACTCCATGACATGTAGAAGAGTGTATCTAGAGGGTTAAAATATGTATGTTGTTAATGCCAACCTCACACTGTAAAACATAAGTCATAAAAATTATAATATAAATTAGACTTTATAAACAATAGTCTTGTAAAGGTCTTTGTTGCTCACAGTTGTGGTAAAGAACTTCTGAAATTCTAAAGTACATTATTTATCAGTAGGAAGATTATATGAAAAAAAAAAATCGCAAACATAATTTGATATTTCTGAGCAACTTGCAATATCAGATAACAATGTTTCCAAAATGTGTTATAAAACTATTTTGAGTAACATAGTGGATCTGTGTTTGGGTTTTGCATATTTAAAAGAAAATAAGGTTCATAAAGTTTGAAATGAAAATTCAATGCTCATTTTTATTTCTGCTTGGATCCCTAGGTCTGTGAGAATACTCAATACTAAGGAAGAAAAATAAAACACAAATATATATATATAGAGAGAGAGAGAGAGATTATATATGAAACTTGTATTTTATTAATTACTGATATACAAGAAAACAAAAGTCCAAGATAAATATCAAGTGATTATTATGAGAAATCATGCTTTTATTTTTCAGTTAACTTGAGAAAAATCAATGCACTGTTATTCAAGTCCATTTCTTTTCCTGTTATGTTGCATTCTAACACAAACAACCTACTTTAACAAGACAAAGATAAACTGTAGTACAGTTTTGGTAAAATGCCAGGAAGTTGTAAAGCTACACATGAAGAAATTAATTACCTTATGCTACAAATCCTATGTATAATTTTATTTAAATAAACATAATACCACAAGGTTGGTACTGCAAGTTAAGACCAATAACTTTTTGCAAGTATTTTACTCAAATCATGATACTAAGGATATTGGATTTAACACATGGCAATTCTGTTATTTTTTTCAATTATCTGCATAATAATTTCTTTTCATGACACTGTATACTGAAACAAACTAACGATTGTACTTATCTAATCTGCTGTATTACTATAAATTAATAAAATATTACAGCGTTGTTGCAAAAATGTTTAAATAACGTAAAAATAGCAGATGTTACAAACATCACAAACTGGTATTACAAGTAAAAATATTCATCTGAAAAGTTGTTATATTTGAATAAATATATCGTAAAAAGAGGTCACAGACCAAGAATTCACACAAAATCTTAGGATTTCCTTACTTAACCTTATTTAACAATAACCGTTTTCTTTACATATCAAAAGAGTGTAACAAAGTTCTACATCAATTCATTTTCTACAGCCTTTGTGAAAATGAGAAAAATACAAATCTAACATCAAATTACAAACAGAACACATTTCAATGAACAAGTTTTGTATTTTAATCTCCTAAAAATATGTTATAGCAACCTTTTTTAACATCAATAAACAAGTAAAAGAAGTCAAATATCAGTTCACAATACAAAACAAGCATTATAAAGCATTAAAATATCAATAATTTTTGTGTAAATTTCCTCACAGATGTGCAAAAAACACTGGTGACTGTTTCTACCAGTGTGGTAGCTCATCATTCATCCTCATTTCTAGAATGTCTAGAACATTTCAGGGAGAAGGATGAGATCAGAAAGTTCAAACCAAGGACAGCAACAGTTATGTCTTCAATGACTTCTCGACTTTGAATGTGAAATCAGCCACTGGAGAGTGATATCTATAAACAGTAAGAAATAAATACATTTAAACAAAATCTAGGTGAATCACTTTTATCCTTCAGTCCTATGTTTTTAGCTGAAAGAATGCAGTCATTTTGAATAGTCTTGAAACAGAAAAATAGACAGATGTTGAGATGATCACTTTTATAACGTTTTTTATTCAATATGTTTTTATTTTGCATACTTCAGTTTTATTTTTTACCTTATCTTCTCAGTTAAGATCTTTATTATTCATTCGTTGAAAGCCATACCTTTCATTTTTGACATCTCAATTTTTAAACCCTCTCTTTTTAGTCTTACCTATATCATTTTTCTCCATTTCTTACCTATATTATCTTTCTCCTTGCAAGAAATAGAATAACAGCATATTTCACGATCTTGTATTGCTGACAAATTCCTGTTGAAAACATAAAATAATAAAACTTTAAACAACTCTTTTCAAAGACAATACAAAAATATTTTTAACCACTTTATTTATGAAATGTTTTACAACTATCAGGTATTTTGTATATATATATATATATATATATATATATATATATATATAT